GTGGTGCGGACTAGGAGCAAAGACATGTTTGATGGAACATACATACATACATGGTACAAGTGTGATATGTCAAAAGTCGCGGCATGTTTGTCTAGAGGGGGTTTGTCTTCTTTTTATTATTGATTTGATTTGTAGGGTTTTTTTTAAAAAAACATTTTTACCATAAAATTGATAAAATCGTTGTCTTTTTTAAAAAAAAAAATAAACATTTAAACGTGACTAACGCCACTTAATCTGTAGGTCAGATTCAATTTGATTTGTATGGTTAGTAGTAGGTAGCCGTGTGTGGAATATGTCGTGTGGGAATTGACTGGGTTAGGCCAGCTGCCTTTCTTATTAGTTTCACATTTATTAGTATACATTCATAATTTCTAACTGTGTCAGTTTCACTTTCTAACTAGCTACTAGAGTTATAAGTCTAGTACAAACAGGGACGGAAATAGTGTAGGACAAGGGGGGGCAGCCGGCCCTAAGCTTTTGAAAAATGTTAAACATGGTATGTCAAATTTTAAGTTCTAGGTCACAACCAAGCCCCTTCTAATGAGCCAATGTTAAATCTAAATAGAATGATAACATTATATATAATAAAAGGGCTTGTTGTAACAACAAGTTTAAGGGTTACTTTGTGCATGAATTGAGTTGAGGGGGTAATCTGCCACCATCCAAAAAATTGAAGGGCTAATCAGCATGTTTTGCCAAACTCCCATGCTTGATGGTGGAGACTTATAGAAAACTGTACTAGGCGACAAACTGTGTTCCAACGAAGCCATGAAGTACGTTGCAAAATTACCTTCTCCGAGTGTATGTTGCACACTACAATAATTTATTTGCTTTTTAAGGACACGCAATGTGATTCATGACTATAGGTATTTCAGAAAGAACAAGATAAGGAAGAGGATGTTGGAGAGCTCATTAAGTATAAGGTCTTTCTACCGGGTAAAGGCAAATTTATTTCTTGATTTGAAATAAGATCTATGGAAGGAAAACCCCAAAATGGCACTAAGAAGGCAAACTAAGATTTAATCATTGAAGGGGTTGTGCTATCCTAATATTTTTTGTAATGTTTTGTTGGAAGGGAAAGGTAATAGCACTATAAGTGATGGATTGTTTAAGGATTGGAGTACCTTGTATCCAAGAAAATAAATTCTTAGTTTATCAAAAAAAATAAAAAAGTGATTCACGACCACGGTTATATTTAAGACATGTAACATGTGATTCATGATTATGGTTATAGTTAAATTTAGTATGTTTGGATTGAAAAGAAATGAGAGAGGAAAGAGAAGGCAAATTTTTTTTATTTGATTTATTTTAAAAATTAGAGAAGAGGAAAGAGAAAAAATTATGTTTATTTTATTTTTTAATTTAATTATGTATTCAAATAAGGGGAAGGGAAAGGAAGAGAATGAAAGAGCAAAATTTTCCTCTCATCCCTTTTTCACTCCTTTACTTTTCCCAATTCAAATATAAGATTTAATTTGTTAAGAGCATCAGGAATTGTTAAATTTTTATCTTAATTTAATTATTAAAATTAATTAATAATGAATAAAAATAAGTAATATTTATTATTTAATAAATTAAAATTAATTTATAAATAAATATTTTTAAATGAGAAACTATAGGGAAGATAAAAATGTTGAGACCAATAACGTCGCTTGTATTATGTTATTAAATTAGTTAATGTATAAAATATTATAGATTTAAAAAAATAAAAGAATTAATTATTAAATAATATAAAATTTATTTTTAAATGTTTTAAATAATTTCAAAATTTTATTTTATTTACTATTATTCTTTTTAAATATCATATTAGCTGTTTAAGGAAAAAATTATAAAGGGTTGAAATTACAGATAAATCGAAGATCTTGACCATTTGAATGATGGCAGTGGCACTCGTTAATCACGGGGTGGGGTCCTAAATCTCCTGATCACGAGGATAAAAAAGGAAATATACTCACCATCGAAAAATGGCAAAATCTATCTATAACAGAAAGGGGATCCAAATTCTCATAGGGGAACGGCAGAGAATCAGAAATGGACTTCTTGGCAAGTTGCTTGCTCTGTCTCATCTTGATCTGGGTATTGGCTCAAGTTTACAGTTCAGTTGTCACTGGAAGAAGTGGAAGTTCTCGCAAACTTCCACCTGGTCCACGGCCGATTCCGATTTTAGGAAACCTCTTGGATGTTGGTAACGAACCCCACAAGTCCCTGACTGAGCTTGCCAAAACCCATGGCCCCATAATGACCCTAAAACTAGGCAAATTAGTCACAATTGTTGTTTCCTCACCAGACGTTGCCAGAGAAGTCCTGCAGAAGAATGACCTTATCTTCTCCAACCGAACCAATAAAGATGCACTCCGAGCGCACCAGCACCTCGAAGTGGGGCTGCCTTTTCTTCCCATTTCGCCGCTATGGAGAAACCTTCGCAAAATATGCATTTCACACATCTTCGCCATTCAGAAACTCGATGCCAATCAGTATCTCCGGCACAGGAAAATTGAACACCTCCTCACCATGGTTCAAGGAAGTTGCCGTCTTGGTGAGGTGGTAGATATAGGGCAAGCAGCTTTCGATACCACCCTCAATTTGTTATCAAATACAATTTTCTCTGAAGATCTAGCTGAGAGAAATTCACAAAGTGCCCTAGACTTAAAGAAAACTGTGTGGGGTGTCATGGAAGAGGCAGGAAAGCCTAACCTGGCTGACTATTTTCCTCTTCTCAGAAAGATTGACCCACAAGGCATAAGGCGTCGGATGGCTATTCACTTCGGGAAGTTCCTCCAGCTTTTCGATAAAATGTACGAGGGGCGGATGCAGTTGCGAAAAGGTCAAGGTGTTGCCACGACTAGTGATGTCTTGGACACTCTAATCAACATCACTGAAGACAAGACAGAGGAGCTTAACAGAAGACAAACACTCCATTTGTTGATGGTAACGTTTCCCTCTCCCCTGTTTTCCTCCGTTTTCTTTAGTTTATATATTCAATTGAGAAAATAAGGGAAGAGATGTAAGCTTCTAAGTTCTAACCATGTAATGTGACAGAGTTTATTTGTGGCCGGAACTGATACAACATCAGCTACACTGGAGTGGGCAATGGCGGAATTACTCCGAAACCCCAAGGTTTTACGGGTAGTTCGGGCAGAGTTAGAGGAAGCTATAGGCAAAGGAAACAAGGTTGAGGAATCGGACATTGCTCGCTTGCCATACTTGCAAGCTGTCATCAAAGAAACCTTCAGGATACACCCACCTGGATTTTCTCTACTCCCACGCAAAGCGGGAGCTGATGTAGAAGTCTGTGGCTTTACAGTACCAAAGGACGCGCAACTGCTGATCAACATATGGGCCATACACAGGGATCCGAGCACTTGGGAAATGCCAAACTGTTTTATACCGGAGAGGTTCCTGGGCTCGGAAATTGACGTCAAAGGCAGGGACTTTGAGCTCCTTCCGTTCGGTGCAGGGCGCCGAATATGTCCGGGATTGCCTTTGGCACTGAGAATGTTGCATATGATGTTGGGTTCTCTCATAAACTGCTTTGATTGGAAGCTTGAAGATGGTGTGACGCCTGAGAACATGAACATGGACACAAAATTTGGGATTACCTTACAGAAAGCCAAGCCCTTGCGGACAATTCCCTTTCCTGTGTCCTAATATTACTTCTCAAAAGAGAAAACTACTTAGTGGTTGGTTGTGTGCTGTACTTTTGTTCTTCGTATGTCTGTTCTGTAAAAAATAAAAGATCGAAACTTTCTTGCCCAGCAGTGAACGATCTGTTAGAATTACTAAAGTAATTTTCTAGAAGGTTCATTGTTCATGAATGGCTCTTCATCTTTCAGGTAGCTTATCCACACATTTTAGTATGCATGTCCCTAGAGTCTCTAGTTCATATGTTGATATGTTGTCATTACTATGTACCTAGTTTGGTGTATTAGGGGGATGAATCTTTTTCTTTTGGAGTCCTATATATACCCATGTACTCTTCAGTTGAAAGTATCCAAATAATAGAAGAAATTCAGAGTCATACAAGTCTTGTTCTATTTTAGCCATTTTTGGAGTTCTTTGGTTTGCTTTTCTTCACCAAGGTTGCTGATCTTGGGTTAGTGTGGCTTTGGTTGCACTAAGAATTATTACGTGCTATCAGAGCTTGAGAGATAAGCAGCTGCTTTGTGACAAGATCTCTTGTGAAGAAAATCAGCCGGTGTTCCAAAATGGATTCAAGTGGTCAGGTTGTTGGACTTGGTATGGAATTATTGAACTAGTCCAATTATAATGTATGGAAGACTTGTGTGGAATCTTATGTTGTTGGTGAGGACCTTTGGGGTGTTGTTGGTGGTGATGACTTTACGCCTCCAGAAAATAATGAAGAAAATGCTGAGGCCTTCAAGCAATGGAGGCAAAAGAATGCTGAGGCAGGATTTGCCTTGAAGAGGTCTATTTCTCATGGAATGTTTGAGCACATAATCCGTTGCAAATTTGCCAATGAAATTTGGCAAACACTTGACAGGTTATTCAACAAGAAAGATGTGTCTTAGTTGTAGTTCTTGGAGAATCAACTAGCTAATGCCTCCTAAGGGGACCTCTCTATTGCTTAATTTTTTTTTGAAAATTAAAAATTTATGATAAAAAATAGCTTTGATTAGCTTAAATGTTGTCTTTTTTTTTTTTTTTTTTTTATGAGAAATGGAGGTAAAATAAAGTATTTGATGGCCATTGCCATCTATGAAATGGCCTAGAGGGAGGGACTATTATCTCCTCAGAAATCTTAACCAGCTCCAATTAATATCTACACTTAGAGCCTGCTTGTGTTGATTGGTCTGATCACTTTCAAGGGATTGTTCTGATCCTATATCCTAGATATCACTTTTGTTCTTAATCATGCATGACTTGTGTGTAACAAACACTGTGGGAGTAACCAACGAGGGGTTGGATCAAGTGGTAAGCTGTTTGTTCCAGTCTAAGTAAGGTCTTGAGTTTGAGACTTTGTGTATGCAGCAGCTCTGCTGAAAGACTCACTCACTATTTTCAGGTACGCAACGTGGGTCGAGTCCGGATTAGTCGGGGCAAAACCCCAGATACTGGGCAGAAAACCAAAAAAAAACATTGTGGGAGTAAATGTTTATTGCATGAAGACAATTATTCAACAATGGGATAAAGTATTAATGTTGCCAGTTTGTATGGCTACCATTGTAATCCACTAATTATGGAGTGACTGGATTGAACGTCTATTTTAGTATTTGATTCTTATATATGTTTTGTTTTACCATTCTACATTTTCCTTCCATTTTAACCCTCTGGTCTTTTATTTCTCCAAAGAGAATAAAAAATTCATTCTAATTTAGGAGCTGGAACCATGGTCACTATCTTATTGTATTGCACTCAAAGGGCAGATATTCACACCCAATGGAGTAAACCAAAGATTTTTATTTTCTAAAAAAAAGTACATACGCATACAAGATGGAGCAGCTTTCTGTTACAATATAATGCTGAAATGGGTTTTTTGCTTTGGTGTCAATTTCTTTGCTTAGCTGTCAATTTTTGGTTTATGTGTCTTCAAGATAAATTGCAGGATTAGTTGATTATTTGACAGAGTCCAAGCTTGTTATTTAGTCTTTACTTAGTGGAGTATGGTTCCTTATTTTTAGAGATAAGATTAGTTTCCTTTTTTTAGATCATGTAGTCATCGTGTCCTTGTATTGTGCAATCTGTTGCTCTACATTTTCTATTTAAATGGGCACAGATCAGTTGAATAATATTCTCAATTCAGTTCATCTTTTCTGTTGCACACCAAGTGTTTGATTAATTGCCTCATAGAAATTTCATTTACTTTAACCCCTGTTTTTTATCATCTTCCCCTTACAAATAAGTAATCCTACACATCTGCTTTATTGAACAGAACTCTCTTCTGTTTCAGTCCATCAAAATTAAAAGTTACTTCAATATCATTTAAGCACAGAGAATCCTTTGTCTAGCAATACAAATTGCACGGTAAAATCTAGCATTCTCAGACCTTACTGGGAGCAAAGTCTTTGTTACTTGCTTCCCATATAGTAGTGCCATCATACGTGCGTATCTTCTTGTAGTTCTCGCCAACACCAGCACTTCTAGCAATCATTGCAGCTCTTAAACCTGAATCCGATTTATCTTCGGTCTCATTGACCAAAATAGAACGACCAATGAGATCAGCAACTCTGAGCCGCTGTTCTACACCAGAGTAAAAGGCATCACCTTTCTCAATTCTCATCCACCTCAAGTGTTCCCAGGTCGCCAAGCGGCTGAAACATCAAGGAACCACCAAAAAAACAAGATTAAGGATTAATGACATAAAACACACGAGATGGTGACCAGTAGTAGCTTTAATTGTTGTACACGTTTTTTTTTTTTTTAAAATAAATACAATTATCTATAACTAAAAAAAAAGAAAAAAAAACTGAGAGTTAAAATTCAAATATTCCATTACCATTCCCATTAAAGAATAGAGTGAGATCATTTCATTCACGACACAGAAATCAATTGTGATACACGTTAGTCTGTTATATATACAGTACTCAGGCATGTGATTGAGGGTTCGTGGTTACACATCAATCATGAATAATGCTATTGTGGCCGACCAGCCTCCCCGGGGTTCTGTTGGCTAAGACTGTGGGTCTGGGATTCAAAGGCTGGCGACAGAAAGCTGAGAGGACGTTCGATCCCTACACTAATTTCTTAAATTTAAAAGATATAATTTAAATCTTTAAAAATTATATAAAATTATTTTAATTTAAAAGATAAGGAAATAGATTTTTTAGGGTTTAATGATTGTAATCTTGGGGTCTAGTATTTAATGTATTGGGATTTATATTATATTT